GAGTCGATAAGTACGAATGGCAGGAGAACATGGTGCTGAAATTTATGTGTAACGCCAAACTACTCATAGATATGTGAATGGCAAAATATAGGTTAAGCCCGGAATACCACCACTCAGGACGGCCAGTGGCCTAACAACTACTGTTGTGGACGCTGCGAACGCTCTACTCCTGCAGTTTGGCTCGGTAGCTTCAAATACCATGGAACATTCACCCTATCAAGCAAATGTCCTTGGCTTATCCAGTGTCACTTTTACCCCAGCAGCGGTTGCTAGCAAATTCCAGTCTCTCCGGTAGTGTCGCTGGAACTGATATGATCTAGCCATAAGTGTTGAAAAACCTTGCTCCCACCATGGCAGCACCACTTGCAACCTTTTTCCAGGTCTGCTTAACTCCCATACATTCCCATCTGAGTGTAAAAATGGAATTCGCACTCAAATATACCAAGGTGGTAAGCTATCGGATCCTGCCAACCACCGACCTTTTACTCTCCTTCCTGCTTTATCAAAAGTGATGGAATCCGCAATCGCAGGCGAACCGACGCGCTAATTTGAAATTCTACAAATAATTTCTAATGTCCAACGTGGTTTCAGACACAGACGATCTTGCCTCATCAATTTGCTGCTTACTCGGGACTCATGGACCAGGGCGGCTGATGAAGGAGTCGCCATATATGTGGTTTAGTTGGATTTTGCTAAAGCATTCGACAGGGTCAATCACTTCTATCGCCTCCAAAATGTTGTTGCCTGCAGTATCAATGGTTCCGTGCTCACCTGGTTGGAAGACTACTTATACGACAGAGCAATCAAGGTAAGAGTAGCAATCACTCTGAAAGCCTGTGTGCCTCCAGGTGTGTACCGCAAGGAACCGTTCTCGGCGGGCTGCTGTTTTTAGTCTACATTAATTACATTCCAGCGAACATTCTGTCCTAGATGCAAATATTGGCAAACGATGTAAAATATGGAGAGCGATTCGCTCAGCATCCGACCGTGTCTATCTTCAGGACAATCAGGCTCAAATTAACAAATGGGCAGAAGCGAAGCAGCTCCCTCTGAACTCTGCGAAATGCCACCTGCGAACGGTGCTTAGCCGCTTTGTCAACACAGACCTTTTAAGGCAACACGTCCTGCAACACGTGACTAGTGAATGCAACTTAGGTATAATCGTGCAAGAGAGTCTTGACAATTCTCTCCAATGTTCGAAAGCAGCAAGCGTGCCGAACTTGAACTTGAAGCTTTTGCGGCGAGCTCTCAGCACCTTTGAGCAACGGCTAGTAACATTGCTGATTAACTCGTATATTCGTCATCACGTTGGATATGCAACTCAGACCTGGTGTCCATGGTTAAAAGGAGACATTCGCTTATTGGAACGACCCCAAAGTAGAGCCACAAACGCAACGCGTGGACTATCCGGTCTAAGCTATGAACTTCGTCTTCGTGTACTCGGTGTGTTTTCAACAGAATACCAATGGCTTCGCGGAGATCTCATTCTCACATATCGGATACTAACTGAAAGCGAGCATCCATGTACATCACTGTTGACCATAGCCCCTTGCAAACAAAGCCAAGGCAACCACCTGAAACTAATGACGCAACACCCGTTTGAGTTGTAACAAGTATTTTTACTTACTAACTGTTCTCACTAGAATACGTTACCAAGATATGTGGTGAACGCACCAGACAGGACGACATTCGAAAGGCTCTTAGACTTTCATGTTAGTGGTAAACGCTACACAACAATTTGATAAAGTGGAATGGTTTAACCATTGATGCTTCAAGTTCCAAGTTGGAACATTTTGGTTTTAATTTTCTTTTGCGTATGCATCTTGTGGGTCATGTAAACGTGTGCTTATAATCCCATCATACGCAATTGTACTACTGAAATAAATATCCTACTTCACCGCTGTTTGTACTATCGGCTTCTCCTTGGGAAGTCTGCTATGGGTCTGGATGAATTTCTCCGGAGACTCATTGGATAGCAGAGCCCGGTATGAAACGCTTCTTCAGCCTTAATCAATTCAGGACTGCAAATCCGCCTGGCCCTGTTGAAGAGAGTGTTTACGAGACCGCGCTTGTGCGCAACTAGGGCGAAGCTGGAAAAATGTACGTACTGTCCTCTCATGTCGCTTTCTCTACACAGTGAGCTGCAGAGTGCCATCAGTCCTTCTCTTGATGAGCAAGTCCAGAAACGGCAGCCTGTCGTCCTGTTCCCTCACCCGTGATACAGAAAGTCTAGGGTGAATTGAGTTCAGGCGGGCAAAAGTCGGTTAAAATATTCACCGTTTATGAAGATGAGAATGTCGTTTGCATGGCGCTTGTAAAGATTTGCTGCAACTATGCATGCAGCAGATTCCTCTTCGAGCATGCCAAAGATGATATCTGCCTGAACTGGTCGCACAAGACTACCCATAGCAACATCGTCGATCAGTTTGTAAGCCGTCTCTTCAAACTCAAATCGCACACTCTCAGTGCACGACAGTATCAAGTCTCTCAGGTACCCCAG